CATGGCCCGAGGCATGTGCGCGGACCAGTGGGGGCCAGGGAACGTATTGAAATTCGCCGGCCCAACGGGCCAGAGGCGTGCTAAGATCACTGGTAACTGCGTACATCATTTCTACTTCGCGCGCGCGGAGCGGCCCCCGGGGGTCCCCGGACGAAAAGTACCCCGGGCGGTCCTCGGCCGGTTCGGGTGGGCGCCGCCCTCGAGGCCCCAAGAAGGGCCAAGAGGCCCCCAAGAGACCCCCAAGATAGAAACAGAGGGCTCCGAGATGCCACAAGATCGCTCCAAGATGCCCAAGATTGCCCCCAGACGCCCCAAGAGGTTTCCAAAAGCACTCCCAAGGGGGCCCCAAGAGGCAAAATTCATTGATTCTCCGTAGGTTTTGGACAGATTTGGGCGTTTCCCCCTTTTCGGCTTCCCGACGCCTCCAGACGGCCTAAGTTAAGAGATCCCCAAGATCGCCCCAAGAGGGTCGAGAGCCCCAAGACGGCCCAAGAGGGCTCCAGGACCGCCCAAGACGACTCCAAGACGGCCCAAGAAGGCCCCAAGAACGCCCCAAGAGAGGCCCCAGAGGGGGAATACGAAACAACATTTCGAGCCCTCGGCCATAAGAAGCCCCCAGGAGGTCTCCAGAGGTCCCTGAGAGGCCCCAAGAGGCCCCCAACAGGCGGTCAGGAGGCCGCCAAGAGGCCACCAAGAGCCCCAAAAAGGCTCCAGGTTAAGACGTCCCCGAAAGCCTCGGAGAACTCCCAAGACATTCGTGTGTTCTGCCTCCCGCTGCGAGAAAATTGGCCGGCGGAGTGAGCGAAGGGATGACGTGAAAAGGGGCACCATGAAATCTGGGGAGATATCAGTGCCCCCGCCCTATACTGCTCCCATCGTACTTAAGGACTACATCCCAGAAATAATTTCGAGCACCTGGAAAGGTGTCGAAAGAGTGTCGAAACAGTGTCAGACGAGTCTCTCCCAGGGCCCGACACGTGAAAACACTCAAATTTCGGTACTTTTTGCCTGGTGCTCGAAATTCTTTCTGGCGGTCAAGGCTAAAGTAAGTTGGAACATCATAACCCCCGCCATGAAATCTGGGGAGATATCCCAACCCCCGACGTGGTGTTTTTTCCACAACGTCGACCCCCAGAGGTTTGGACCCCTTCCCCGGGACCGGTTCTTCGTCCGGAATCGTTTTTTGACGGTCCGAGGTCCGGTAAGGGCCCCCGGAGGCCGAAAATAGCGAAAAACCTCCCCTCGTGTTTTTTTCCACAGCGCGAGGAGGTCAGGGATCGGGGCTCCCGCCATGATATCCCCCCCCCCAGTCATCAGCCCCCACGCTGCCGCCCCCGACCCGCGCGGGAAACAGGAGGAGGAGGAGGAGGAGGAGGAGGAGGAGGGCGAGGAGGAGGAGGAGGAGGAGGAGGAGGAGGAGGAGGAGGAGGGGAGGGGACGGACGAGGACGAGGAGGAGCAGGAGGAGGAGGAGGAGGAGGAGCAGGAGGAGGACAAGGACGAGTAGGAGCAGGAGGAGGGGACGAGGACGAGGACGAGGAGGAGCAGGAGAAAGAGGAGGAGGAGCAGGAGGAGGACGAGGACGAGGAGGAGCAGGAGGAGGAGGAGGAGGTGGAGGAGGACGAGGGGGAGGAGCAGGAGGAGGAGGAGGAGGAGGAGGAGGAGGAGGAGGAGGAGGATGAGGAGGAGTAGGAGGGAGCGGCCCCCACACACAGAGGCCAGGACTGTGCGGCAGCGTGCCCCCCCCACCGCCCCCCAGGCACGCGGCGGCGCGGCCGCATGCCGGGTGCGCTGCCGCCGGGCAGAGCCCCATGCGCTCTCGCAGAGGGACCTCCCCCCTACAGGGCAGTTTTTAATACATTGGATTCTTAAAGTTATAGGATTTAATACATGATTAATTCATGCATAAATGTATGCATGAACTCATTGTTGTTTTAGTACTAAATCCCTGCATGTTTAATTCATGATCCGCACGCGGAGCATGCATTAAAAACGGCACTGTATGTACATTTTTTCTGGCGCGGTTTTGGGAGAGGGAGGAGGAAAGCAGAGGGGAAGGACGGCGACGAGCACTCGAAGATCACTCCGAAGGTGAAGCTCCGCCCCATGGTGAAGGGGACCCCCCCCCGCTACTGGCGGGCTCCCGCACGCATCGCCCCGCCCCCTTCCCCCCCGCAGGCGACGACCCCTCGCGAAACAAACGTGGGCCCACGTACCCCAGGCCACGATCCCTCGTCGAAAACAACGGATCGGCGACCCGAGCTTCCAGGACGGCCCATGCAAACAACCAAGGGCACACCAAGATGCTCCACGATGCCTCGGAGACGGCCCAAGATGGCCCCAAGGCGGCCGAATCCGACCTCAAGACGGCTCAAGAAGCCTCCACGAGGGCCACGATGAGGATCTCCAAGAGAGGGTCCGAAGAAGCCACCATACACGACTTACAATCTACAAAAAGGAGGATGTTCGCATTGTCGCCTTATTGGGCTTCCGTCAGCTGAAGACGGCCCAAGAAACCTCCACAATGGCGCCAAGACGGCCCAAGAGGCCCCCAAGAGATTGCCTAAGGTGACCCACGATGGCCCAAGGGGCATCCAAGACGACCCCAAGACGGCCCAAAAGGTCAGAAGGCGCCCAAGACGGCCCAGGACGCCCCCCCGACACCCACCATACGGCCAAGAGTGCCACAAGACAGCCCAAGAGAGCCCCACGACGGCGTAAGAGCCCCAAGACGACCCAAGAGGGCTCGAAGGCGCTCGAAGAGACACACACAAAACTGCTTCCTTCACAGGAGGCCAAATCAGCCCCAAGACGGCCCAAACGAAATGTATGAGACCTCCTCCAAGAGCGAAGGCGAAAGATGACACATGAGACGGCCTTCCTCTTCCTCCTCCTCCTCCTCCTCCTCCTCCTTCTCCTCCTTCTCCTCCTCCTCCTGCTGCTGCTGCTCCTCCTCCTTCTCCTCCTCCTCCGACCCTTCCCATCACCACCAACACCACCATCATCAGCAGCAGCATCATCATCCTCACCATCACCACCACCATCACAACCACCACTTAACAACAACGTCAACAACAACACGAGCAGCAATAGCAATAGCAACAAATACACCAACTACAACAACAGCATCAGCATCACCATCATCATACTCATAATCAGCATCATCATCACCATCATCATCATCACCATCATCAGCAGCACCAGCGTCATCATCATCAGCAGCATCGTCATCATCATCATCATCATCATCATCATCATCATCATCATCATCATCATCATCATCACCAACCGCATCATCAACAGCATCATCACTGCTAGTATCACCATCATAATTGGCATCAACCTTATAGACATAAAACATCATTGTCAACGCCGTCATCACCATCACCAGCAGCATCATAACCATCAGCATAATGATCATGATCGTGTCCATCATCATCATCATCATCATCATCATCATCATCATCATCATCAGCATCATCACCATCACAATCATCATCATCGTCATCGCCATACTCAGAATCACCATCACCATCATCAATGCCATCATGATCATCATCATGATCATGACCATCATCATCATAATCACCATCAACATCATCATGGCAATCATCATCGTCGTCATTACCATCAACGTCATCATCCATATCATGCTCATAATCGTAACCATATTCATAATCGTACGCGTAATCAGACTCATCATCATTATCAACATCATAATCATAATCATCATCAGCAGCAGCATCATCATCAGCATCATCATCATCATCATCATCATCATCATCATCATCATCATCATCATCGTCATCATCATGGAATTCCCAATACTGGAGGGAGACACTCGTTGTCCTAAGTGATAGTATCTCGTCCCCCCTCGAACAGTCGCCACCCAGAATGCTGGCTGGCACGGTGGCGGGCGGGACTTGCCACAGGCAGCTGGCTGGACACTAGACACATGCGATAACTAGCCGACCTGCACAAAATCTTGGGGCACATCACGGTGAAGGGCATTGGATAGTTAAGGAACCATTGGATAAGGAATCCAGGGTCTTGAAACCAGAGGAACTCCAATTTAGGCTTGGTCATGGATATAACCGCCGCCCTCATCAGACAAGGAATCCCCCAGGGTCTGAAGCCTCCTGGGCATATTCCTTACCCAACGCTCCCACCGTATTCGTGGATCTGTGAAGGTCCTAAGGTTCTCCAGGTCCCTGAGGCCCTGGGGGAATACGACATTTCAGTGGCGCACCCGCTGGCAGGCCGATCTCTCGTTCTGTGCGCCAGCTGCAAGGAAAGAGCGCCGCTCAGCGCCCCCCGACAGGGGACCCCCCTGACTGGTGCTCTGGCCAGCGATCCGGCGAGCCAAACCCTCGCCGATGCGGACAGCGCTGCGGAGCCCGAAAGAGGCCCCTCAAAGTGCCAGCAGCTTTCGGCAGATTTCGCAAACGCACTGCTCATATATATATATATATATATATATACATACATATATATATATATATATATGAAAGGGGCCCTGGGACGCACAAATAAATACACACAAATCAAAGATGCCCTATATTTTCCCATATTTTCTGGGTTTTTGTCTTCCCCCCCACTTCCCATATTTTCCCATATTCTCTGGGGAATCGACGATTCATTGTGTCCGTGTGTTCTTTTCCCTCCTGAATATAGTGAGCATCGAATGTTGTGCCGCTGAGCCGCCATTGCGGACATCACGCCGCTCGCGGCCGCACGTGCCTGGGCGCGGTGGGCTGCCGGGCCCCTACCGGTGATCCGTGGGCGATTGGGGGCCGCTGCGTGCCGCCCTGATCCTGCCGCCGAGACCACGGCGGCTCATCTCCCGCCCGGCCCCCTCCTGGGCGGATCCGGCCGTGACGACGGGAACCCATGCATCCGGCGCTCAGTGTGTTCGATGCGTGGCCTCCAGATGGTCTGGACAGCTTCCCCAGGGCCTGGCCGTTTTCTGAAGGTCCCGGGGCCCGTGGAGGGCCCCCAGAAACCGAAAATAGCCCAACCCCGGCCGCTCCGATGTTTTCGGAGCCTCGGATCTCTGGAAAGCTTCCAGGAGGCCCGAAATGAATGAATGAATGAAGCCGCGCGTCCGTAGGCACATGAGCAATGACACGAGCGCGCGCTAGACAATACACTTGCGCAATGCTGCTTCCCAGCCTTCCGCCAGCAACGTGTCCCAATGTGAAGAGTTCCAACCAGAACTACGACAAACCTGCATCGCATGCCTAGACAAAATGAAAGAGGCCAGAAAAGGATGGAGTTATGCCCTGTTGAAAGTTGAGGTCGGGAGGAACGAAAAGGGAGGAGACAGCAAAGGGTATAGGGTGGAGAATCAGCCCACGCAGCTGACTCTCCCAGCGCCTCCCGGCGCCGGGAGGCGCCCATGCATCGAGGAGTGGGCCCGGCGGCGGGGCCGACACCAGCTGCATGCAGCAGATTTTGCTACCCCCCTTTCCCTTCTCTGGCCATCGCTCGGACGTCCATTCCCTGTGTTTTTGTTGGTTTCGTGCGTGGTTCTTGTTCCGCAGGATGACCCAGGATGCTCCTCCAGGGCCCTCGCCGAGGAAAAAAATGCACACGTCCGAGCGATGCCAGGTTCTCCCCCCCTTCGCTCGGCCCGAGCGAGAGACCTCGTGCCGTCGGGTGTCTGGCGCGGCCGCCCGCGGCCGGAGCCGCCTCGCCGCGCCTGCCGCCTGCCCTGCCACGGCCTCGGCGCCGGCGTGGCGCTGCGAGGCGGGCGCCTCCGCCTCCTGTGGTGGCTGGCGGCGCCCGGCGTCCGAGAGAAAGAAAAAGCTCGGCAGGCAGTCAGCCCGTGTGGTGAGGATGCTCGACGGGGGCGCAGAGGGCCTCGGAAGCCCACGCCGAGGCTTTTCGAGCGGGGCGTGGCCAGCGAGAGGGGTCAAGGATGAGCCGAGGAGGCAAGGACGCAGGGGTGCCCCCTTGGGAAAACCGCCCATCTTGGCTGTGCGGGTTGACTGTAGCTGCCCCGATACGCAACACGCAACCCGTGGCGCGTTGGTATGGGGCGCAGCACGCAGGTTCAAACACAGCGCAGGCCAACACGCGATGGAATCAACACGCAGCGCTTAACGTGGACGTTTTGACACAGTACGCATTGCGTTTCGAACCGAGTGCATCGGGGCAGAACCGCCCGGGTGGCACCGGGGGGGGACCCAAATGGGGGGTGAAGGGAGGAGGAGCCCCTGGAGCCTTCTAGGAAGGCCGCTGCGTTCTAAGAGGCCCCTCGGCCCCCCGAAATTGCTGCCCCCCCCCTCGCGCCGCCTCCGCCAAGAAGGGGGGCGAGCTGCGGACGCCCACCGAGCCTCGGGGCTCGAGCTTCGAAGCGTTCGACGATCGCGGGTCAGGGTTTTGTCAACCTCTTGGGGACTTCGTGGGCCTCGGGAAGCTCCTCGTCGTCACGGCTGGATCCCCCTCTTGCAACTTCCCACAGCTCTGGCCCTCCTCCCCCATCGACGATCGGGGATCGAGCCTCGGGGGCCGAGGCTCGACAACGGCGGCTGGACGCCTCTGGGCGCCTTCGGCCCTGCCTGCGCCTCCGGAGGCCTCCTCGCGGCCACGGCTGGATCCGCCCCGAAGCTCGAGCCTTACGTCGGGCCTGTCCCCCTACAGGGGGATTTTCGACGAAAAATAAAAAGTACCCCAAAAATAATCAAAAAATAGTCCAAAAATAATCAGGGGATCATTTTTTCTGTATTTTTGACCTTTTTGGAGCACTTTGGGGGTATTTATTTTTTCGTCGAAAATCCCCCTGTAGGGGGACACGCCCGACATAACTCGAGCCCGAGCGCACCCTGCCGCCGATCTCTGCGCCCCGAGCCCCGAGCCGCTCGCGCCCCGGAGCGCCGCTGGCGGCAGGAGCCGCTCCGGCAAAGTGCTGGGCCCCCCGGGGCCCACCGGGCACCGCCGGAGACGCCTCCCGAGGAAGCGCCGGCCCCCAGGGGCGCGAACCTCCTCCTCCTCCTCCTCCTCCTCCTCCTCCTCCTCCTCCTCCTCCTCGCTACGTGCGATTCTCCTTCTCCCGCGATCTGTGCCCGTCGGAACCTCTCTGCCGTCGGAACCTCTTTGCCCGAAGACACGGCGTCGGAGGCCAGACGGGGGGCCGCCCATGGACGAAAAGCTCGAAGCCTGCGGCGCAGGATGCCCCCGCGGGCCCCCCAGATGATCATTGAGGGTGCGGCGCTGGAGAGGGCCTGGATGGACAGAACGATTCGAATCCCCAAGCCATCACCCATGCTAGAATCAACGTGGGTTTCGTGGGCTAAGGGGGTGATGGACATCCCCCTCAAGTGTTTGTGTGTACATGCGTTGCGAGGGTTCGAATATGTTGTCTATGTACTGGAGCACTGGCTACGGGGAGGAACCACTGGGATCGACGACGCATCGCCAAAAGATCGGCGCCAGGCCCCCGGCGGCGGGGGCGCGCAATGCCCAAACTCCCACCAGCGATGGGTGGGCGATTTTAGGGGGAGATATACAGTCAACCCATATGATAAAGAGGCACGATATGCCTACAGACCAAAACTCTCCAACCAAACCCGTTGGACTCGTCGATTTCCGGCGGGGGGGCGGGGCACCCCATAACATAGACAAAACATGCTGGAACCCGTGCGTCCCCAAACCCGAAAGTCGGGATGGTCTAGGGCTCTTGGGTTGGGTGGGGTGGCTTGGCAAGTAGCGACGATAAGGATGCGAGGGCTTTGGAGGGCCATGTCGACCCCGTTCAGGCGGGGCGCGGCCAGCGAGAGCGGCCAAAGATGGGCTGGAGGTGCAGAGGGCAGCGGCCCAAACCTCCCCGATCCTCGACCGCTCCGCCGCCGTCACCGTCATCGCTGTCGGCGTCGTCGTCCCCTCCCCCGCCGCCTTCTCCCTCTGCCTTCCCCCTCTGCCTTCCCCCCTCTTGCCTTCCCTGACGGGGCCCGCCGCCTCTGCCTCGCTCCTCGGGCGCGCCGCCGCCACCATCCGAATCGTCGCGCGCAGCGTCGACGCCGAGTGCCGAGCGAGTATCGCCTCCCAGGGCGGGAGACGCAAAACCTTCCAGCGTCATTTCGGCGCTCGAAATCATTTCTGGCGGTCGACACTGAAGTGAGTCGAGACATCGCCAGGCTGGCGTCCCGACCCCCCAAAAAACAACAAGAAGGACATTGAGGGATTTGAGAGAGCGTGATCCACCGCCGCTTTACTGTGGAAAATTGCCAACCTTTTCCTCCGGAACCCGGGGGTCGCCCCCCCCTCCGAAATTCCCCCCCCCCTCCCCCCTGCTGGAACCCCTCCCCCCCCCCCCCCGGCAAAACCCCCCCTCCCCTAACCCCTTCCCCCCCCCCCCCCTCCCCCTCGAAAACCGGGGGGGGTCACTACCGGTTCGAACCCCTCCCCCCCCCTTTCCGGATCCGGAAAACCGGGGGGGTCACTACGGGTTCGAACCCCCCCCCCTCGAAAACCGGAGGGGGGTCACTACCGGTTCGAACCCCCCCCCCACGCACCGCCAGCAAACGACTCCCGGTCCCTACCACCGTCCGCATCACATCCCCCACTGTTGTTCCCAGCACCACTGTCCTCACCACCACTGTCCCCACTGGTTCCACCACCGTCCCTACTGTCCCCACCAGTGCCCCCACCACTGTCGCACTGTCCCCACTGTCCCCACACTGTTCCCACCACGGTTCCACTCTCCCCACTGTCTCCACGGCCCCAACCACTGCCCGACTATCCCCACTGTCCCCACTGTCCCACTGACTCCTCCGCTGTCCCACTGAGCTGTCCCACTGTTCCCACCACTGTCCCCACTGTCCCCACCACTGTCCCCACTGTACCTCTGTCCCATTGTCCCACCGCCGTCCTCGCCACCGCCTTCACCACTGTCCCCACCACCATTGTACCCTCCACTGTCCCACTGTTTCCACCTCATTCCCACTGTCCCCACACCACTGTCCCCACCACCACCGTCCCACCACTGTCCACTGTCCCCCCCTGTTCCCACCATTGTCCCCACCACTGTCCCCACCACTACCGTCCCCACCACTGTCCCACTGTCCCACTGTCCCCACCACTGTCCCGCTGTCCCCTCACCACTGTCCCCACCAACACCGTCCCCACCACTGTCCGCACCCCCACTCGGTTTTCGAGGGGGGGGGGTTCGAACTGGTAGTGACCCCCCCCGGTTTTCGAGGGGGGGGGGGGTTCGAACCATTAGTGAACCCCCCCCTTTTCATGATGAACTGGGGGAGGGGGGGGAAGGGTTCGAACCGGTAGTGACCCCCCCCGGTTTTCCGGAGGGGGGGGGCGGGGGGGAGGGGTTCGAACCGGTAGTGACCTCCCCCAGTTTTCCGCCAGCAGCGGTAGAACACGCTCTTTCACGGATTTGGGTCCTCGAAGCCTTGACTACGCGGCAACTTCAACGGCGCGGCTAATGCGAGGCATTTGCGCGGCAGCAGCGAGGCAACGGCGCAGCTCGGTCGCGGCCCTCGTGCGCAACCTGCATCGCCTCAGCACAGCAGCATCATGGCGCGCGCTGGGAAACGGCGCGGTGGCACCGCGGCAAAACCAATGCATCTGCATGGGAAACGCATGGCAATAGCGCGGTAACTGCGCGGCATGCGTTCGGCAATCGCGTGGGAGTTGCGCGGCAAACGCATGGCAATTGCAAGGCACCCGCGTGGCAACTGCATGGCAACTGCGCGGCAGTGGCATGGCAACTGCGCGCCTACTGCACGGCGACGCCATGGCGAGATCATGGCAACTGCATGGCCAAAGCGCGGCGATTGCATGGTAATAACACGGCACCTGCTGAACAACAGCCTAGCAGCAGCGCTCGATGTAGGGCGTGGGGGGGGGCCTGGGCAACTGGGCATGAGGCAAAAGGAGGGGGGAACGGGCAACTACAGCCGAAATCTGTCACAAGGACGGGGGCTAAGGTAAGGACGCGGGACCCTTGAAGCCGCAGCCCCAAGTCTACCAAGTAAGGATGGCCAGCGAAAACGTCGGAGGACGAGCCCCAGAGGTAAAGACGCAAGGGTACCCTAGCAGAATCACTCGTCGATGCGCGTTGACTGTGTGTGGGGGGGGGGCTGGGCGATGGGGGGGGGGAACTGGCGCTCTCGCTGGGCGTCGACATGTTTTTGTTCGACGGTCTTGCGTCTCTCTCTCTCTCTCGCTCTCTCTCTCTCTCTCTCTCTCTCTACACACACACACACCTATAGATGTACCAATATAAGAAATATAGCTACACATGCGTCGTCCGTGGGCACGGTAGCTGGGCGCGGAAGCACCAGCTCGGCTCTCGGGAACTGGGCGCATCACATCTTGCCGCTCCCCTCCCTGCATTTGCCCCAGTGGCCCTTCTCGCCGCCTTGGCCCCCGCCAGCGCCGAGAACCTTGGCCGCCAACGCCCGCTCCGCTCCGAGCGCCAGCGGCTTGTCCAGCAGCGCCCTGGCGAGGCGTGCGCCTGGCTCGCCCGGCGGCGCGCCCAGGGCTCGCGGCGCCTGGTGGGCGGCTGGGCGGCTGGCAGCCCTGGCGAAATCCGTCAGCATCGCCTGCTCCTGGCAGACCAGCTCGCTGGCCTTCCTGCGGAGGCGCTCCACCGCGAGACCATCGACTTCGGAGAGCGCTCGTCAGGCGCCGAGGCACTGGCGGCAATGCCTGCCGCCCTCCAGGGGAGTGTCGTGGCCCGCCTCTTGAGGGACCTCGGGCGCTCGCGCATCGGGGAGGGCATGTCCCTGCGCCGCGCGCTGGCGACAGCAGCGCCGAGAGGGCGCCCACCTCACGCCATCTCAACTCTCGCCGAGCGCCGAGGCACCAGCCACCGCCAAGAGACCACAGTCTGTCCCGCCCTCCCGGCCCCTCAGAGGGACCCGGGGACAAATTTTCACGATTGCGACCTGGAGTCGCCTGTCGATGGTGGCGTGGTACAGGCGTCCACCGACTCGGCGGGGCTGCCGCCCATCTGGCTCCGCACTCTGAGCCAGACCTCCCCGCCGAAGATGTGGTCGCAGTGGGTCTTGCAAATCATTGACTCGTTCGTCGAGCCTACAAACAAGTACGTTCAACCTACGTAGTTCTGCAAAGACGATGTCGTTCCGCGGATCCGACGAATCATTCAATGCTGGGGCAAATCAACTCCGTACTCGCTACACTCGAAGACACGAGTCTTACGCGAAATGTCATAGCGAACTTACGTGGACACCAGCGCTGCAACCCACAACGGAGAAGAGGGCGCTTACGCGCGACCTCACGCGGGCAGTTTGCGCGCCAATGTCGGTGCAAACGACCCCGTTTTCTTGCGTCGCCCACATGCCGAGACCGTGCAAGAATCATGCCGTCGGAGATTCGGGTCTGCCCTCCGAGCCCATCCCCCCCCGCCCCCTTTGCCCGCCCTGTCTCCTGCTCGCTGCTGGGGAGCGGCCCCACCAGCTGCTCAGCGGCGGCGCCCTGGACACGCTCCTCCTCGCCGCAGGATCGAGGACAGGGTCGAGGCCTCGTGAACTTTCCGTCGGAGGCTCCCTACGGCAGGCTCGCGCCGCGACGGCGTCTGCGCGGGTCTCCGACGCCGCGTGGATCGTCGAAACCTGCAGCGGAGACCCCTGCGAAGAAGCACCCCGCTTGCCTCCAGGGTGCCCTGGGTTTCTTGGGCTTCGATCGTTTTGCGGTGGAAGGCGTGGCGTTCCCACACCAGGAATCAGTGGACGTCCTGGAGTTTCAGGGTTGGGTGAACTGTGGTCGAGCTCCTACTGTAGCTGATCTTGGCTTCCCAATGGCGCATATCGTTCGATGTCGACCGACTCCTGGGCATCCGGTGGCGCTCTCCTCTTCCTCCTCCTCCTGCTCCTGCTCCTGCTCCTGCTCCTGCTCCTCCTCCTCCTCCTCCTCCTCCTCCTCCTCCTCCTCCTCCTCCTCAGAATGAAACGAGTCTGTGCACGAAACCACACATGCACTGAGCATCTCCAGCGCCGAGACGACCCAGTAGCCCACCACGACGAAGGTGCAAGGCAGCAACACCGCGCCCCGGCCGCAGCCCAGCTCAGCCCTTTCGCCGCCGCCGCCACCTCCGCGCCCGCGAGCTCACCTCGCCGCCGCCTCGCGGAGGGCAGCTGCGCTGGCCGCTCGGTCACCGCCGAGGCTCGTGCGCAGCTGCCGGGCCGTCGCCCCGTGCAGGGCGACCGACAGTTCGGCCCCCCAGCGCTGCGTCAGGGCGCTGGCAATCCCCGTGCTGCCCTCCTTTTGCCCCAGCCCATGGGCGAGGTCGCGCGCCAACAGCCGCAAGTGGCGCAGCGCGGCCCTGCCGTGCCGGCCCCCTGTCTCGAGGGCCAGAGGCAGGACGGCCCACGGCGCACGTCCGGCCGGATAGCGGCGCCGCTTGTCGCCCTCGGCGCGAAGTGCTCGGCGTCGCCCGGCACGGCGTACCGGCCGGACGGTGACGTCCGCGAACTGGCGCGGGCATCCTGGCGCTTGCGCCTCGAGGTCCACTATGGCCTCCTCACGCTCGATCTGCAGAGGCGCCCCGCACCCACTGCATGGCCCCGCGGGCGGGTCGAGCGTCGTGCCCCGCGCGTTGCAGCGCGCGCGGCGCCATTTCCAGCGGTCCCACGCAGGGACGGCAACTTGGCGCGCGGTGTGGTAGCCGCACTCCCTGCGGATGCGCTCCCAAGCGTCTTCCACAGCCCGGCTGCGCGCCACTACGCCGCCGCCGCAGGCGCACTGGTAGGCGTGGCGCGCTTTGGAGCACAAGGGCCCCCCGCACTGCTGCCCGGCTCGCGGGCCCGTGCGAGTGCGGTTCTGGCGGCGGGCGCCAAGGGGCGCGCAGTCCTGGCCCAGCAGGGCGCGCGCCGTGACGCAGTAGTCTGCGTCGCCGAGTCTCTGGCCCGCGGCCCCCGGCGAGGCCAGCTGCCAGCCGGCCGCGTGCGGGCCGCCACAGGAGCGCAGGCTCGCTCGTTCCTCGAGGCTGGAAGCGCTTAGCAAGGCTATAAAGTTTTTTTTGGTCTAGCCGTTGCGTGAGCAGCTTCTGTAGCTTCTTGCGAGGTTCGGCGGCGAGGTCGCGCCAGGGCGGCAGGGCGTGCCCAGCCTCTCCTCCTGAGTGGCGGCGGCGGCGGCAGCGCGGCCCCCGCGGGCGCCACGGGCGGCGCGGCCGACGGCGGCGCCGGCGGCGCGACCGCCGCGCCCGTAGGGCGGCGCTGGCGGCTCGGCAGGCAGCGGCCAGCGGGAGCGCGCTCTGGTCCAGGTCGCCCAGCCCCGAGACTCTCGCCCTCGCCCGAACCTCCGCGAGGCTCTGCGCCCAGGAGCCCACCCAAGCCGCTGGGGCGATCTCCTCTTGGCTCCGGAGCCCCCTCCCGCCCAGACGTAGCGGCAGTCTGCATTGTGCCTGGTTGGAGGGCGTCAGCGGGTCTAAGCGGAGCAGGCGCTGGTAAGCCTCCAAGACCGCCTCGTCGTAGGCGGCAGCCGCGGCCCTGGTGCAGTCGGGCGGCGAGGCGCGCAGCAGGTGCGTGATTTTCCCAGTCCCGCAATGTCGCAGCAGGAGCGCCCCGGCCTGCGTCGCGTCCAAGCGGGGCGAGGCTTCTGCGGGCAAGTCGGCCAGCTTGTCCAGGAGGTGCGCAGCCCGGGCCGCGACGCCGTTGCAGTGTTCCGCCGCGTAGCCAGGCGTCCCCAAGGCGAAGCTGCGCCCGTCGTTCTCCGCGGGTAGGTCAAGCGGCCGCGTCGTCTCCAGCGGCGCCCCCACCAGTGTAAGGCCTGCAGGGCGCCAGTAAGGCTCCAGCCCGGTCGGGCACGGCGAGCGGGCGGACCACGCCTGCGTTTTCCTCGGCTCCAGCTCCAGGCCGATCCGCCCAAGCGCCGCTTGTGCCGCGGGGAGCACCTGCGCGGCGAGCGCGGCGGGGGCCAGGACGATGGCGTCGTCGAGGTAGGCCAGGACGCGCACGTCGTCGGCTGGCAGCCCCGCGGCCGCTGCCGCCGCGCGCAGGTCGTCCTCCAGCTGTTGCAGCGCTGGCTTCGCTGCGCAAGCGTAGAGAAGGAGCGCCAGCGGGCCCCCTTGGTCCACCCCGCTGGTGGCGCTCAGCTCGTGGCACTCCCCGCGGCCATCCCAGTAGAGGTACCTGGAAGTTCGTCTGCAGAAGAGCTCGCTCCTCCAGCTGGCGCAAGCAAGCCGCGCGGCGGACCGACCCGCATGCGTTCCGGGCGTCCAGGGCCACCAGGACGAGGTCGGGCCGCGCCTCGGTGAGAGCCCGCGCCGTGTGTGCCAGGAGCTCCGTGTCCGCCGCGGTCCCGATGGCAAACTGCTGTCTGCCCAGCTTCTCCGCTAGCTGCTGCTTGCGAGGCTGAACCAGTGCCCGGCCCACCAGGCGGCGGAGGATGTTCGGGGCGGCGATTGGGCGCACGCCGCCCGCTGGCTTCCGCAGCGGAGTGAGCCTCGAGAGGGCCATCGCAGCCGCCGCGCTCTCCGGGACGCGGCCCAGGGAGACGCGGCCACAGACGCCGCACAAGGCTGTCGTCGCCCTGCTGTCGGCCAGCACCGCCCGCCAGTGCTCGTACCGGCCCCCGCCGGCCGCCGCTGCGCTCCCTCTGGGGCTGGCGCGCAAGGCCTTCTTCAGCGTCCTGTGGCTGAGCGCCGGCGCCGTGTCTGGCGGCGGCGGCGCGCGCGCCGGCAGCGGCTCCTCTTGGCTCGGCTGCAGGAGCTGCTGCATCCGCCTCCCCGTCTCCTCGGTGAGCGGCGCCAGGCCCGGGCTGGCGAGCAAGGCCGCCGCGCGGGAATATTCTTCGTTCAGCGTCTTCCGGATCACCTCGTCGGCCCTGTAACTGTCGCCCTGGCAGTCGCTGTCCCGCTCGCGGCGTGCCCGCGCGAGGGCCCGCGCGTGACCGTGCGCCTCGGCCAGGAGTTCCTCCCAGGCCCCGCGGTGGAGCGTCGAGCAGCGCTCGCGCACCATTCTGGCGCGATCCTGCGGATACGTGTCTGGGGACCTACGCTGTCTCCCAGCGCGCGGACGCACTGGCGCGAAGAAGGCGCTCCCGAAGCATCAGAAGCTTCCAACCTCGCTCTTCCGCCGGGTTCCCAGGCGCCGCCCCGAGGACAGCCTGGCAGATCTCCTCGGTGATCTGCGCTGCTGCTGCCCGCGTTCCGCTGGGCACGAACCGCAAGGTGGGGCAGTCCACGCGGAATTCTTCGCAGAGATCCACGCCGTCCAGCTCCGCCCAGCAATCGCCAGCCAAATCCTCGAGGGGCCTCCGCGGCCCCAGCGCCGGTGCAGCCGCCGGTGCTGCCGCCGCCGCCGCCGCCGGCCCTGCCTCCTGAGCCGCCGGCGCCGCCGCCGCGGCCGCCGCGGCATCCGAGGCCGGCACGGCCGCCGGAGTGGCCGCCGCGAGCGCCTGTATACGTCGGCTCCGGCGGCGGACCCCAGCCCCGCGCTGGCGGCTGCGGGAGCGGCAGCATCCACCGCGCAGTCCCGGCACACGGCGGCCCCGCACGGCTCGCACCTGTACAACCATCCTCCCCGTCCAGGCCCGCCATGGATGGCGCAGGTCTCGGCCGCGCTGTCAGGCCGCGCCGCACGCAGAAGGCCATGGCAGTTCGGACAGGCGAACTGCGAAGCAGCGCCGGGAGGGCCCGGGTGCCGCGCCTCTCCGACGCGAGTGCCCGTCAATCCGCACTGCCACGTCACGCAACAATCCGCCTCCTGCCGGGGCCGCGGCGGCCGCGAACACCGGGAACGCCCAAACGTGCTGCTCGACGACCCCGCCTGTGCACCTCCTCCGACGGACCCACGTGGCGCGGGCGTCGTCCCGTGGCGCTCCCGGCGCCTGCTACCGCCCCGGCCCCGGCGGGGAGCGCGCGAGGCGGGCCCGGGCGGTCCGGCAGCGATGCCGGCGGCCCTCCTTCCGCTCCTCGGCCGGCCTGCGGGCCGGAGGTGGGCTCCGAGGCGGAGGGAAGGGGGGATCTTCACTTCCGCCGGCTTCCTTTGTCCTTGCCGACCCCGCCCAAGAGGCCGAGCCTCCGAGATTTCTGGAGGCGCCTGGCGACTTCGAGGG